CAAATGTACATGAAGACAGAGGTTCATGGTTTGCAAAAAATAGGTTAGTGTTTCAAAGTCCTTCTTGAGATATAGGTGGTGTTTACACGGTGACAATACGACTATATCAGCCATGTAAAGAGGGCCATAGACTCACCCCCATGTGTCGACTGTTAGGATCAGTGTCCAGATAATGAGGGTTGATGTTGAATGGAACGAGGCCAATGGCAGAGAAGGATGGAGGGAAGACAATTGGCATGTCATTGGTAGTATTGATGCTGATGGTGGCCACATTAGTACCAGCACTGGAACCCATGTAGGGGACACCTTCCTGAGGAGACGGAGTGAAAAGAGCTGCAATTATCAAATATGTTTTCAATTTTTTTCATTTGTTAATCAAGTAAATCAGATAAATCGTACTTTTGTGTTTTTAAACAACTTCATCAATGGTGTGTTACGCAACATGAAAGGCCTCTTAAAATTTTTATTCAAACTATTTTATTAGATCAAACAAAGCTTAAAACTTTGATCTTATCTCTTATTACAGTATTTTTTAGAGCACACATCACATTCCGCGAAACCTAGGCACTGCGTCGTCGGGTTTCAAAACCAGAGGAAAAAACTTCCGCGAAACCTCGGCACTGCGTTGTCGGGTTTCAAAACCAGAGGAAAAAACGATAACGATTCTTACAGATATTACATAATTATGCTTATATCGGCCGACCTTATCTGACATCCCTAAATATAAAGCACCAGCATTATAATGCTAGTACTAAATAAAAATAATAAATATGCCACAAAAGTAAAAAAAAAAAAACAAACAAAAAAGGAACATGACAGCGCCCCCCACTGGCCAGAGGTGTTGTGGTCAAAGGCTTGAATAATTTGCTGGTATTTACAACTTGTGGCCATTGGGGGGCAGCGATCTTATCTTTAGACACTCACAGGATCAACTCACAGCCAAGTAATCCCTGCACGGAGTAACAGTAGGGGGCACTGTTGCTGAATCAAAGTTGAATTTGAGAGGGAATGAATTTTAACGCATTGATGAATGGATATTTTTACCCAGCCTAAGTCAGAAAATAAAAAACAATTTTGAACTTATTCATGGACGCAGCAGTGTGTCAACATCACTGCGGGTCTGTGGGGCTAAATCCCTGGTCTACTCTGTAAGTATATAATGAAATCTTTTGCCTACCTCAAGGACTCGCTTTCTGATCTCTGTCACCAGCTTGTTGTCATAGAGACACTTTAGGAGACGGAAAGTGTTTCCTCCACCTGCAACGCACAAAAGTGAAAAGCAATGGCAGCACGATGGAAATTTTTCAATTACTGCCCCCAACCCCCTCCACCTCCACTGTCTGTATTGCACCCCCACCGATGAAAATAGCTTCAGCTTTCCTGACGGCCTCCACAGGATCGGCTGCTTCGTGGATGCTGTCAACCTCATAGCCTGCAGGTCAAACAGAGGAACTACAGCTAAATGCATATAGTAATAATTGCAATGGTAAAAAAAAAATATTTTTCGTTTTTGAAATATACCCAGGGATTGAAACTTGTTCCTGGCGATTTTAGCATATTCATCTCTGTCGTGTAGCGCGTACGGCACAAACAGCACTCGTTTCACATCACTAAAACAATAAAATAGAGCATGGACTTCACTGACTTTGCTGCAGGGGTTAAAGGTCAATGTGCTATTTTTTTTTAATTTTTTATTACCAATCTCCACAGTTAAAAGCTAGGTTTGACTACATTTTGATAACAACCTGGTAAATTGAATGTTAAACTTCACTCAAACTACTTTTGTTGTATCATGAAAAGTTATCTCAGTAAAATAATACATTATTTTCAATGCAATTGAATTACAACGAACGAGTTGATTTATAATTTTATAATGTTAAGTGATACATTTTTAAACATGACAACTTAAAATTTACCATACGTTTCAGTATAGTAAAAAGCTGATTACGTGATTATAGAAGGCTACCAGTTTGTAAACGTAAACGTATAAATACTGTGTGAAAGTGTTTTAAACTGTGCGTAACAGCACGCACGCATTACCGGGAGAAAAAGGAGCGAATATTCTCCTCACAGTGGTCCAAGTATCCGCTGCCGTACAGAGTAGAATTAGAAACCAGCAGGAGCCTCCGCATATTTTTTTTTTTCTTCGTTCAGACGAACTGAGACTAAGCCGGTAGTAGAAGCAGCGGCAGAGACTGAAAAGTTCGAGTCTGCACTCTGCTACGGTTGAAATACGAAACCAAACAGCCACACACGCCACGGGGCGGAGCATCTCTGCAGCTGTCACAAAATAAAATAAAATAAAATAAAATAAAATAAAATAAAATAAAATAAAATAAAATAAAATAAAATAAAATAAAATAAAATAAAATAAAATAAAATAAAATAAAATAAAATAAAATAAAACAAAAAAAATAAAATAAAATAAAATAAAATTACGAACTGAAACTAAAATAATAATTATTAAAACATCGTAAAAAAAACAGATAACGTCAAAGATTATTTTTAAAATACATAACATTAGCAAAATGTTTCCACATCAATATTTCTTGATTGTAGTGGGTTATTGTTTACTGTGATGAAATGGAAAAAGAGAGAATTTTGGTGTGAGTTGAATCTGCGGTTAAAAAATTAAAGGAGCAGCAGCAGCAGCACCGGGAATGGGGCGGGCTTAAACACATCTGGATGAAAAACATCTGGACTTCTACTTCGCTGCAGAAGAATAGACTGGAAACAAAACAAAACGAATATCGGGCTCTGTGACAGATAGACGGGAGAACAAAGGAGCAGAAAAGGACAGGGGGACGCATAGGAGTACAAAAGGACGTAAGGGGACAAAAATACAAAATGAGGGGTTAGTGCTGCAGGGGCTGCAGCTGGAGATCATTTAAAAAAAAATGAAGTTCTGGTTCCCGACTCTTTGGACCTGGATTCTAATCTTTATCAGTGGAGGTGAGTTGAAGAAAAGCGGGAACATTTTCTTTTTATAACCACTGAACCGCAAGTGCAGCTGACAGTTTTGAACATTGAAGACGTTTTAGGATGGTATAGATGTGTAGGTTTGTTCGTTGTCCAGAAAAGCTAAAAAAAAAAACAAAAAAAAAACACACACATACAACAAAGCATGTTTTGCTATACTCTGATTGTTCACTAATAATGACCAATTGACTACTTATTCAACATTATATATGTTGAAACATGTTTAGATTCTGAGCCTTTTGGTCAGGGAAATTGGACAAAGAGAACAGAATCTTCACTTTTTGTATTATGATTTAATTAAGTTCTACCTGCAACACACTTTAAAAAAAAATAAGGAAAGAGTCACGTTGAAAAGGTAACAGCTACAGGTGAAACAGGTACATTGGGAGAGCTCAATTAATGAGGTTACCTGCTAACAAGTTTTGGTATGAAAGTAGTTTACACTGAAGACGTCTTCGGAAGCACAAACAGGCTGTGTCCCAGTGTTTTGTAAGAAAATGTACATCAATTTTAAATGCAATTTTATAGCAAAATAGTGGAAAATAGGGATTTTATTTTTGAAAGTTATTATGTAAATCCTATGAAAATTATAATAATAATGGCAAAGACCATCAGATCATAATGGCAAAGACCAAAAATCATCATACTACAAGGATTGACAAAGATGCATGGAGTCCGCAGAATTTTTTGGAAACCATTGTCTCTGCACACAGTCTTTTTTTTTCTAAAGAGGATAATGTGTGTTAGCCCATCGTGTGTGCCTGATAATTTTACCATGATTATTTGAGGGTGGAGTCGTGGATACCAACTCTGCTCTGAAAACTGCTCAGTCCTGGAATTAATTTACTCCTAGGGAAGGAGAGCATGCACACACGCACACATTGACACACACAATTGTCCTTACTTCTTTGCAGCTCAAGTTTTGAGTTATTGTAGGCAGACAGGCCTCCATACACACACACATATGTAAATCCTAAGAAGCAGAGGTGTGGACTCGAGTCTCATGACTTGGACTCGAGTCAGACTCGAGTGATCAATTTGATGACTTTAGACTCGACTTGACAAAATGTAAAGAGACTTGGAACTCGACTTGGAGTTTAACATCAATAACTCGTGGCTTCACTTGGACTCGAGCCCTGTGACTCGACAAGACTTGATACTTTCTCCAAAACCCAAAGATTATAAAGTAAGTTATTGAGGAGCGCTCTGTATCTCTCATTGTGTACGTATGTGCTGTCGGCACAGCATCCAATCAAATAAAACGTTGGCCAATCAAATTGCGGGACAACCAATGAGAAAGAGCTGTCGAACAATGCGCGGGTTAGAGAAAATGATAGCAAAGATCGTGTTGTTCGGATTTAAAAACTACGATATGGTCAACAAAAAACGAGTGGCAGTGAGTGGAAGGACTCGAAAGGACTCGAAAACAGAAACGGCAGGACTTGGGACTTGACTTGACACTTTTCAGTCTTGACTTGGATTGGACTCGGACTTTGCCTATTTTGACTTGAGACTTGATTCGGCCTCTCCTTGAATCGCAACCTTAACGTGGTGGAGGGGTTTGAGTATCCGAATGAACCTAGGAGCTATGTTGTCGGGGGGGTAACGC